TATTGTGATGACTTAAATCTTTATTAAATATCATTTTTACATTTATCCTATTCTAACAACATATATATATATATTGTCTAACTGGCTACTTAATTATTTGTAATTATAATTTTAGTCATGACTTATTTTAAATAAAAACGTTATTATGATAGTAAAACATTTTAATTATTTAATTATCAATTTATTTGATTTACAGAAAATCAGTATGGGATTACTGCATATTTGTATACAAACAATGGTGGTCACTTGGTGGTATTTAATCGATATTGTTTATTCATCTGCCAAATTAGGAAATGACCATAAAATTGTTTGAAAATTATTATTTTTTATAAACAAGTATTTTTCATAAATGCAAAAATGGCAATCTTCTGATAAGGTCTATCATATGGAATCAAGGGTGATTAATTAAAGAAAAAAATCATGAGAGTTAAAAAAAATAGGAAAATTGATATCATGCTAGAATAATGCAGTGGTTGAAAAAGTTAAGACATTAGCACATACCCTTTTTTTGTACAGGTTGTAAAGGGCATGGTGTACTGTTTGGTTAATCAAATGTAATCAATTGATGAGCACATCAATTAGCATATACCAGTAATCACCCAGGTCTACTCTTGACTCTCCTTACTGCTCATAAAGATAGTGAGTTTCTTGGCACATTGTAATTTCCTACAACTGTCTTTATGCTCTTGCAAACAGGAGATTCAAGGTATATCCCAAATTATTCTTAACATTTGTAGTCTTGCTGCACAATAATGGAAACAAAAGCTTGATGAGATTGTGATATGATATCTAAGTAGAAGGCACTAACAAAAGTGCAGGATTATACAGCCATTTTCATTCTGATTTCACCTCTGAGCTTCAGGTTGGAGCAGTATGCAGATTAACAGATCTTCTTTACAGATCAGACCTTTTGAAGTCATTGAGCCAACCTGCCAGTTAAGAGTGTTGATGTTTGCTTCTTTGAATGGTAAACCAGTGGTTATTATTACTATCTTCACAGCACAAAAATATTGGAGCTCTGTAGAAATCAATCTGTAAGTAAGAAGGTGAATTAATCACTACAAACTAAGGACTTGAAGAAACTGGTGAGAACTTATGAAATGATTTGTAAAGTAATAGGATTTCACTAAAGATGTTACAAGAACACTGAACACTTTGTTGGTAGAAAATCCTAGGTTGCAGGTAATATGAATAATGATGAAAAACAGCAAAGTTGAAGATGAAATTATTTCAAGAAGGAAGATGAAAATTGCACAAATTACATTTATGATTACTGTCGTAAAGCACTGGTGATTGGAACTAACATTACTGACTGGCTAACAAAATTTTAGCTCTTCGATAGAGGTTTTGCCACCCTGATGGATACGCTCTGTCCTGGTAATCTTGAACAGTAGTTGAACAACAAATTAGCTTATTATGTATTAAAATATAAGAGCAAAGTTTTCATTCATGTTTTTTTTTAATTAATTCATAAGTTTTGCTCATAGTTTGAGCAACTATATTTGGGTGTTTCACCTAAAAACTGGCTCCTTTAATTAAGAATATTCAAACTTAAAACAAATGTCATATCATATTAGTCATGCAATAATTAGTATTGTTATAGTAGTACTAAGAACGTTAGACAACAAAATTTAGTGTAAAAATATCTTTAGAAATGTTGAAAATAATGCCATCTGTTACAAAACTAAAACAATAACTGATGACTCAATATGTCACCGAGATAAATTCTGTCATGAGCTTTGTTTAGACCAATGCTTCTCAACTGTTAGTTTGTAGACTAGCACCAATCTGTCACAATAATCTTGATAGTCTGTGGGATATTACAGACACAAATAAAAAACAACTGACAAAATATTCATGACTAAATCATAATGGTTTTTCATTGTACTTGCATTTTCATGGTCTGCAACAATTTAGGAAGGCACTGGGCCAGTCCCTGGTATCAAAAAGGTTAAGAAATGATTGTTCAGACTATTCTTCTCAAATTGATTCCTTGATGCTATAACTCACTAACCCTAGCTTTTACATAAATTTATCCAATTTGCTGTGGGAGTTCAATGTGAATGTTGAATTAATATGTCATTCCAGTTGGGAATATATATATATATATACCACACACACACATATATATATGTATATTCTTGCATCTAAGTAAACAATTTTCACTTGATGAATAAAACATTGTAAATTTTTACATTGTTAAACTTTTAATATTTAGGCCTACCTTCTGGGAATTGTCTGGATTTTTTTTTCTTCTGGAAATTGCCCAAATGCTGCTTTTTGATTGTTTACCTGCAATTACTTCTTATTGGCCCATTGATTTGTAACGTGCATTTCTCCTTTGAATTTCCTGTGTTTTGCTTCGGCAATGAGAAAGGTTATAAAGGTTAGAGCAGCTGGGTTGTTGTTTTGTGGTAGTTAATACATGAGAAGGGATACAGATGTTTAGTATTGCACAATTTTATAACATTTAATTGTTCTTTTATTCAGTATGTTTTAAGGTAAATAGTTTATTAGGTTTTCTAGTACATAACTTGCAACATATGTAACTGAACTTAAGCTATCATGTCATTATCTCTTTTTTTCAATGTTTAGTATTGTCAGTCTTTCATTATTCTTAATTATTTGTTTTATATAAAAGTAAAATCTTCTATTAGTGCTTTAGTATATGAATATACAGTGTGTTTCTATCTTCTTGTATTATTATAGTATTTATTCTCTGTGCAGAATTCACATAACACATGGTAAAGAGAGATATTAAGCTCATCTCGTTTTAGCTGCCTTTGTTTCTTGTTATTCTTGCGGTGGTAATACCTATCCTGCACATGGGAGGATTTGCTGTAATAATGTATTTTGTGTAAAGATGTAGGCCATGTAGACACTTGTCCTCCAGTGTTAGATGTGGTGACATCTTGAGGTTATAACCTCCTTTATGTTTCAATATGATTGACCAACAGTGAAATAGGTGGTGCAAGCATCCTGAGAATATAGTTTTATAGAACTTGATATATAATACTATGATCTTATAGTTAGATCTCTCTCTCTCTCTCAAGCTTAAGCCCTCAGTTTGGTAAGTGAAGTTTAAGTTTTTTTTTTGTAAATAGAAATACTCTTCTAAACTTTAACCTGTAACATTAACTAATTCATATTAAACCTCTTTATAAGTTGTCAGGAGAGAATAGAGTTAGATATATAGTAAAGGCACTGCCCTTTGTCTGTATCGAATTGATTCAGTCTTGTATTTGCCTACGTTATGTAACTGTATCTAACAAAATTGTTATACTACATAGGTACTCAAGGTATATAGTGACTGAGAGAAATGATAGTTCTGATGGCCAAGTTATACATGAAAAGTTGGCAGAAAACTGCCAACGACTATATGGCACAAACAGTTTTACTGTTTCTATGGCACGGATAAAATGTAATTTTGTAAGCTCTTTGAACAAGAATGAGGGCCAAAATTTGTTAAAACCAAATAAATAATAAAGGTCCAGCAATAAGGCCTTTTAATGTACAGTTTGAAAAAAATCTTAGATCAAATGTGAAAAAAGTCAATACCTGTCACACACTAAGAGAAATAAATCACCAAAATTAGACAGAAATATATTTCTCTTCTTTCTTTTTTTTTTGACATAGTTTCCAATAAATTTTGCGTTTTACTTGTTTGTCAACAACCAAATAAACCAGGGAATGCATCTCCTGTAAAATTTGTTATATATATTAAACTGTTTATCGATATTTTAAAAAGAAGCATTTGCTCACAAAAGATGAAAGCAAAATAAATAAAACACTGTGTCCTAAGGTAGGATTGAACCTGCAATGCTCTGTATATTACACTGTAACATTAACCACAAGACTACACTTTAGGTTACATACAAAGCAGACGTTTGGAAAGAAAGCTGAAAATCATCATCTTCCAAAAGTTGGTAGTATCATCTACGCATGAAATATATTCTACCATTGGCTAATCTAGGGGTTGACATGTGACAGTGACATTAAACATGCAGTTCAGGTAGCACTGTTTGTACTTTGTTTAAAAAAGAAGTAATACCTATAACAAAATTAATACTACTACTAATAATAAAAGTAATAGTAGATTACAAAGTTGCCTCAGTTGTTTTTTCTAACTAGGCATATGTGTCTGACATCTCCACTTTATATGACTGGGCTCTTTTTATAACTTAGCATTTTTTCACACTGACAATGTTTTTGTTACAGATAAGTTGAACAGCATCGGCAAGATGAATTGTCAGGTCAGTAACTGGGAATGGGCACTGAAGACAAAAAAAAACTCTGCATGTGTTATAGATCATCAACTAGTTTTTCTATGTTTATAGAAGACTTGGGGCAGTATATGTAGTATAACAGGATTCCACTGGACTCTGTTTACTATAAAACCATTTATATATAATAACTTTTCCCCAACTATAATAAAATATAAAAACAGGCATAAATATTGAGGGCTAAAATCAAACATTTGATTACACTTACCATACTGGTGAAAATAAGTTATAACAACTTGGTACTTGAAATTGCAATAACTTAAAATTTAATTTTTGAACAAGTTGTGAGGGAAAATAATTTTTTCAGTGGTATTGTTTGTAGTTTCTTCACTATATAAAACATAGTTACACTTCTTTGGAAGTATATCATCTAGCTTTGTTGTTTGTATGTTTTCTGCATGAGATTTAATTTTTACAATGATTTGTTGAGAACTTGTTTATCGAACACTTAATTGTAGTTCAGTTCTTGGATTATAAATTTCTGAATGTTATATAACATAATTGTTAATTTGCATGTTATTTTATAAGTAAAAGTTTATTCCATTTTTTGTGTGGGAATATTTTTCAATATTTTTTCACAGTGAAATAAGATTTTAGCAACTTTTGTTATGAAAGCATGTTTGCATTTGCCTTATTAATTTATGTGTGTATACATATACCTTCTTGAATAAATAAATATATATATATGTATATATATATATATACCTATATTTGTAGGTTCAGCATGTTGTAGTGTCATCTTTATTTAGGAGAACTTCAGGAAAACTTGGGCTATATACAGGGGTCCAGCCAAAACTTGTAAGTTATAATATATGTTAGCAACAAGGTGAATCCTGTATTATGTGATCAAGATGAGGGAATGGTGGAGGGTCTTTTTCTAACTGTCTTGCCTCTGCACTTGTTGAATGCTACCTGTATACATTGGCTTCATGTGTTTTTTGAGGTTCTGCATTTTCAAACTAATCATTTACTTGAAATTTAATCTTCTCAGTATGTGTGATACTATATTAATTTTCTTCACTGCTTTGCCTATAGCCATATGGAAAGTTATGTGTGAAAAACCACATGACTGTGAGTCTGCTGTATTCAAGGATAGCTAAATTGTTCATTACTGTTTGCTGTAACTTTACTCTTGTTGATTCTAGTACATAGCTATTTCTCTAATATAATTTTTTGTTATCATTGCCTGGTAACCAAATGAAATATTACTGAAATCTTACAGCTTAGAAAGAAGCATTTTAATATGAGAGAAATTTCCTTAAAATTGCACTTTCAAAAGTAATCTTTGATATGACCCAAAGGGTTAGAAATATATTCTCTATCACAGAGATAACTTCAAGAGCAAGCTTGAGTATTAGAACTCGGCCATTTTCTCCCATATAAGTTATTGAAAAAGTAATACTATACTGCCTTAAACAGACTTTAGTACTGTACTTAACATTGGCTTTAGATGTCAACTGAAAAAAAACAAAAAACAATGGGGTAATGATTAGCCTTTTATGGGTGACTGCAACTGGTTTAGAAAATACTTTTCTTAAAGTGACATCACCAGTGATCTTGAAACTCCTTTATTATCATGTACAGCATTTATAGCCTTAAAAACCTCTTACTGTGAGCTAAACATCAGTGACCTTATTCAAAATAATGAGTAAATCAGTAGTAATGTAAGGTAGATGTTATATACCTGAGTTTAAGAAAGTTGTTCAGTCAGAAGATGTGTATATAAAAGTTCTGAGCTTGAGGAAAGTTTCTCATCACAACTTTATGTTTTCGAATTAAACCTTCAAGAGCAAAATTAAATTGGTGAAATGCTTTGGTATATTAAATTATTTTATGAAGTTGAGAGTTAGTTTCATAACTAGATAGAAGTTCATAATATAGTAACCAAAATCCAAAAAGAAAGGTCTTATCCAAAGTAATAACAATATATTAGGGAAAGCAGGCACGGATAAAATGTAATTTTGTAAGCTCTTTGAACAAGAAAACAGTAGTTTTTTAACATTTGTCTTTTTCTTAACACAATCAGTGACAAACACCCAGTAACAAAGACTTGAATATTCTTCATGTATAATTTACACTGTAACAGTGACATTCTGGCTTGAAGTAAAATGGATAATCCTCAGATGGTTTAAAATAATTTAAAAAAAAAGAGAGAAACCTTATTTCTACATAAGTATGATTAGGAAACATAAGATTAGAATCTCTTGAAGTAAATTTTAATCATTTCTTGAGTTTCTTCAGAATAACTGAAGAAAGAAAATTCAAGTTTTTTATAAAATTATGGTTACAATATTTTTAAGTTGTGAATTACAAGTAATCTAAAACCAGCAAGTTAAAATGAAATTTAATAAAACAAATTGATAACCAGTGATTTGTGTGATATTGTATCACAATAATACTGGTTATAGAATTTGATATCATCTTTCTCTGCTGCCCCTACTCATCCACCCCTCCTTTCCACATGCACATTAATTCTAAAATGCTCAAGTGCATCTAATGAACACACCTGTTGTGTATGGTTGGTTTTATGAAGTAGTTTGAAACATGACATGAACTTCTACAAATTATTTAGCTTCTGCAAATATTTTTGTGTATGAAATTTGTAGCATTGAAAATTCAAAAAGATTTAATTGAGATACAGTTTTTAAAGAAACAATTAAAAATTCTTATACTTGTTGTACATATCAATTACTGGTTTTTATGCCTCCATAGGTTGCTTTAAAACTTTCATATAAAGTTATTGTTTTATAAAATTGCACATTTTGATATTGTTTTGATTTGAAAAACATTGCATGCAGTTTCACCACGTTTACAATTACTGACGTACAAAAAAATAATCTTTTTACCATCACAAAATTATAAACAAGTCGACTTTTTAAATTGTTAATCAGAAAGTTACAGTTAATACATGTAACAGGTTTTAAACCCATTTTATATTGATTTATACTATATATATATATATTTACATTTATTTCTGGAGATTTTATACCTATTCAAGAAGTTACTTAGGCCAATAATGTAAATGTCTCCTTTTTGGCGAAACAAAGCTTGATAAGTCAAGTGAATAGAGATCTATCTAAGCCTACTTCATCTTCTTCCATGAAAAATATTTCTTTTCTTATCTTACAGAAACATCATAATTGAGGAGAAGTTACCAAGCTAAGTTTTTATCACTTTGTTCTTACATTTGTGCAAATCTCTGCTAAATTGAAAGACATATTGGCTTATACAGTAGAAAAGAATGGAAAAATCTTTTAATAAATGCTTATTTCTCTAGCGTATGTCTTCTTAAAGCTGAGGTATAGGCAGTTACATCACACCATGACAACTGAAGTTGAGAAATAGTGGTTGGGTAGTCATTACAGTTACTCTTATATTGAGGTTACAAGTTTCAAATTAACATAATTTTGTTCAAATTATTTTGACTTTCCTAGTAAAGGTTGTGAGTGTTGTGCTATTGTTCAGAAATTTTTTGGCATATTTATGAACATTAGTGTTTTCATTTGGAGCATGCTGAAATCAACAAGAAATCAAAATTTGCATTTTTTTTATTTTGTGTTTCAAATTGAATATACTTAGAACTTTTTCAAGAGATACATTTCAAGTATGAAGGTTTGTTTTAATGTGTGAAAGAACAACTACAAGCTTATTTTCTATAATATTTTTAATTTAGTAGTGCAATTTGGATCTCTGGGCATCATAGAGTTAAAACACGTAACTAAAATTCAAAGTTTCCCTTTATAGATATATAATTTTTATTAAGAGTTTTGTTACTTAGTTGTTTGAAAGTTGGGTGTTTCACTTTCCTATTATTCTTCATACAGTTTTAACCCTCTCCAGACGAGTCATGGGTGAAAGGCCATGTCATTCGCTTGTTGACTT